GTGCGAAACCACTTTTCTTTCGAGGGTGTTCTACCGTACCTATTTCTATAAATGGCAATGGAAAGCAATGGAAAGTATTACTATGGATTTTTCCTTATATATAGATCAATTCTTACAACCTTTAGCATAAGGACTCCAATTGTATATACGTGACGGTACCCATTTAATAGAATTATTGACCCCCCTATGTGTGGCACCCTGAATATTCTTGGACATTTGTTCATTATATGCTTCCATCCCCCATTTAAGCACGCTACAACATTTTAGTTTTCAGATCCCAATTTCAACCCCAGGCAGGCTACCTTCATTTTAGATGCCACACATTTTTGTCTAACACACAACTATTTCAATTTCAATGGAGATTTCTACATTCAGACCCAGGGGACAGCTATGGGGGCAAATTTTGCCCCCTGATATGCTTACTTAGCTATGGGCTATTGGAAAGATAGTCACATTTGGCACAATAACTAGAGATGAGCGAATCGAAGTAGGCGAAAGTGGAATTCGCTTCGAATATTAGAAAAATTTCGATTCGCGCCGAATCCGAAAATAAGCAGACTTCGGATGCGCGAATCGAAATTTTTCCTAAAATGGCGGCGACATGTGCGGCGACGGAGCGGGGATGTCTGGGAAGGCGCGCAGACAAGGCGCGCTGACCCATAATGCATTCATTCATGACATGTGATCGCATTAGCCAATCAGCATCCAGCCAGCCAGCACTGTGTAATGGTCGAGCTATAAATGGCGGCCATTTTAGAATTCTCCATTTGCCTCCAGTCATTCAACAGAGGCAGACCTGGCTGTATTCAGGGAGAGAGTTAGGGACACAGAAACGTTAGTTAGGGACACAGAAACGTTACTTAGGGCCACAGAAACGTTACTTAGGGCCACAGAAACGTTACTTAGGGCCACAGAAACGTTACTTAGGACCACAGAATCGTTACTTAGGGCCACAGAAACGTTACTTAGGGACAGACACAGAATTGTTACTGAGGGACACAGAATTGTTACTGAGGGCCACAGAACTGTTACTTAGGGCCACAGAAACGTTACTTAGGGCCACAGAATTGTTACTTAGGGACAGACACAGAATTGTTACTGAGGGCCACAGAATTGTTACTGAGGGACACAGAATTGTTACTGAGGGACACAGAATTGTTACTGAGGGACACAGAATTGTTACTCAGGGACACAGAATTGTTACTCAGGGACACAGAATTGTTACTCAGGGACACACAGAATTGTTACTCAGGGACAGACACAGAATTGTTACTCAGGGACAGACACAGATTGTTACTGAGGGACACAAAATTGTTACTGAGGGACACAGAATTGTTACTCAGGGACACAGAATTGTTACTCAGGGACACAGAATTGTTACTCAGGGAATTAAAGAGTATGTCAGACAACATGCATAGGAGTGGCAGAGGAGGCAATGTTTTAGGAGCGAGCAGACGTGGCAGCAGAGGAAGGGGTCGAGGCAGCACTAGTCGCAGCCAGAGGCCAGTGCTCCCGGTGTCATCCAGCGGTCGTGTCTCCACCGACAACCCTGCCGTCATCGATTGGTTGGCTCGGTCGTCTTCCTCTTCCCAGGTCACCTCTGACACCTACAGCCAACGGTCGGTGGGTACGTCAGACACAACCGTTAGTTGGCATGGCCCGGGAGCAAGCCCACTGAAATCACGTGTCCTCTACCTGCCCCTGTCCTTTGGTGTTCCCTCACCAAGCGAAGTATCGCATGCTGTGGGCTCAGCCCCACTGTACAGTGAGGAAGAGCTAACAGAGGGCGGTCAGGAACGGGGGGAGACATCCGCCTCTTTCAGCAGCCAGGCGAGAGAAGTAGTGGCGAGGAGAGTGGCTCGGTAGCCGGTCTAGAGACAGGTCTGTCTCCTGACCCACACGCAGCCGAGGGGGCTAGTAGTGAGGCGGAGACCCTAATTGATGATGATGAGGCTGATCGCACTTGGCAGCCTCGTCGTCATCAGGCTATTGCTTCCGCATCATCAGGAGAAGAGGGTGGCAGCTTGGCAGCGAGCAAAACAGTCGGTGGGTTGCCCAGGAGGCAGCAGCAGGGTCGCAGCAGTGTCAGTGGAGGCAAACGGCCACGGAGTAGAGCACCAGCTCCACTGCAGCCTACCACCACGGCCAGTAGTGGTGCCGGTGTGCACGGAGGAAGCAGCAGTCAGCCAGTGAGGAGTAGTATCGGGGGCAAAGTTTCCTACTCGGCGGTGTGGCAATTTTTTGTCAAGCCGCCCGAGGAAGTAAACGTAGCCGTATGTCGACTATGTGGCCAGAAAGTCAAGCGTGGCCAGGGGGCCCATGTTGGGACTACAGCGTTGCGGCAGCATATGCAGCGTCGCCATTTGGTGGCCTGGGAAAACCGTGATAAAGATACGGCGGTTCTGCCGCCCCAGCCCCCGCTCCATCACCCGCTCCGTTACTTGCTCCGTCACCCGACGTCAATCGCCCTCTATCAGCCAGTCAAGGCTCCAACACCTCTGCTGAGGGGAGTTGTCGCTCGTTGGCATCTTCCGCTCGTTCAGATGCTCCTTCTCCTGCTACTCCTCTTCACGGATTCCGTCAGCAGTCTTTCTTGGAATCCGTTTCCAAGAGACAACAGTTTGCGAGCACGCACCCGACGGTGCAAAAGCTGAACGTCCTCCTGTCCAAGTTGCTGGTGCTGCAGTCCCTCCCTTTCCAAGTGGTGGACTCAGCACCTTTCCGAGAAATGATGGCTTGTGCCCGCGCCGCGGTGGAGAGTGCCAAGCCGTCATTTCTTCGCCAAAAAGGCAGTGCCAGCCCTGCATTCACATGTAGAAGACATGGTGGGCCAGTCTTTGAGCATGTCGGTCTCTGCCAAAGTGCACGGCAGCGCCGACGTGTGGAGCTGTAACTACGGTCAGGGACAGTACATGTCATTTACGGCCCACTGGGTGAACGTGGTGCCGTCACAGCCGCACCAGCAACTTGGACAGGTCACGCCGCTTTTGCCTCCACGTTTGCACGTCCTTGGTCCGGCAAAGATGTCCGCCTCTACCACCTCTTCTTCCGCCGTGTCCTCAGCCGCCACCCCCGTGCCAAGTCCCATTACCCGACCGGCATATCACATGTGCAGGGCGCAACGGTGTCACGCTGTTCTGCACCTGGTATGCCTTGGCGAACGTAGTCACACAGGGGAGGAACTTCTGAGTGTAATGAACAGAGAAATCGACAGATGGCTGTCTCCGCGCAAACTGAAAATCGGAACCATGTTGACCGACAACGGAAAGAACATGGTGTCTGCTCTGCGTCAAGGAAGGTTGTGCCATGCGCCATGCATGGCTCACGTGTTCAATCTGGTTGTCAAGCGGTTCTAAAATCCACCATCCCACTGCAAGACATCCTTAAAATGTCACGTAAACTTTGCATGCATTTCAGCCATTCCTACACCGCAAAGCACACCCTCCTTGAGCTGCAGCGGCAGAACGGAATTCCACAGCATCGCCTGATCTGCGACGTTGCAACAAGGTGGAATTCAACCCTACACATGTTAGACCGCCTTTACGAACAGCGAAAGGCCATCACCGATTTCCTGATGTTACAAGCGGATAAAGGTACTCCCCTGTGTAACTTCGATGTCAGCCATTGGCAGCTCATGCGTGACACCTGCCGCTTGCTCAGGCCCTTTGAGGAGGCCACGCTATTCGTGAGTCGGCAGGACTATGGGATGAACGACGTCATTCCTCTGTTGCACGTCCTTGAACAAATGCTGTTAACAATGGCTGGTCAGGGTGCGGTAGACGTGGCGCACAGATCTCAACGCCACATGACCCCTGTGGGGGGGCAGGACAGGAAGAAGAGGAGGAGGTAGAGGAGGACATTTGTGCTCAGGAATTATTGAGTGAAATGGGTGGTTTTTCCACTCAGCGGACAGGAGTGGAGGAGCAGGAGCATCTGGTAGAGGAGGAGGAGGAGGAGACAGAGGACCCAGACGCACCGTGGCAGTATGCTGTGGAGATGGAGGCAGGGAGTCCCTCGCATTCCTTGGCACAAATGGCCCATAGCATGCTCGGTTGCTTGCGTAGCGACAGCCGAATAATAACCATCAGACAGAGGGATGACTTTTGGCTGTCCACCTTGTTGGACCCTCGCTACCGTTCAAAAATGGTGGCCTTTTTCACACCTGCTGAGAGGGAGGCCAAAATAACGTACTATAAAAAACCACCTATGTAGTCAGTTGGTCTCTGCCTTTGTGCGCCAACGTCCATCCTCAGACACTGTGGGCCCTGTGCGCTCGCGTTCCGCTGCCATGGCAGCAGGGGAGGGTGGGGGGTGGTAGGAGCAGTGGCAGCTCCACCAGCAGCGGCTGCCTCAGTCTGCAGTCGATGATGAGTAGCTTTCTTCACCAGCGCAGTGAGGAAACTACTAACCAGCCCAGCAGCAGCAGCAGCAGCATCAGGTGGACCTGGAGCAGGACCTCAAACAACAGGCTTGGGCCTACTTGGACAGCACCCTGCCAACCGAGGTAGACAATCCCCTTGACTACTGGGCAACGAAACTTGACCTTTGGCCCCAACTAGCTGAATTTGCCCTTGAAAGGCTGTCATGCCCGGCCAGTAGCGTGGCATCGGAGCGCGTGTTTAGTGCGGCAGGAGGTATTGTAACTCCGCGGAGGACACGACTGTCCACCCAAAGTGTGGAGAGACTCACGTTTGTGAAAATGAATCAGGCGTGGATTAGTCTGGATTTCAAACCACCAGTTCCTGACACAACTGACTAAATCCGCCATGAATCATGCCTCAAACATGTGCCCTTTGAGGTCTCCTCACACACTGCTGGTGTGTAGAATTTTTTGACATAGGGTGCTGGCAGATTATGGGCCTCCCATAGCTGCTGCCAGGCCCCTAATCTGCCATAGGCCCCTATATACCGCCTCCTCATGCTGCTGCCAGGTCCAGAGTCTCTCATGGGTCCCTGTACGGCCTCCCATTGCTGCTGTCTCCATCGCCACACTCTCTGCCATGTGCCACTTTCAGGTCTCCTCACACTGCTGGTGTGTAGAATTTTTTGACATAGGGTGCTGGCAGATTATGGGCCTCCCATAGCTGCTGCCAGGCCCCTAATCTGCCATGGGCCCCTATATACCGCCTCTCTCATGCTGCTGCCAGGTCCAGAGTCTCTCATGGGTCCCTGTACGGCCTCCCATTGCTGCTGTCTCCATCGCCACACTCTGCCATGTGCCACTTTCAGGTCTCCTCACACACTGCTGGTGTGTTGAATTTTTTGACATAGGGTGCTGGCAGATTATGGGCCTCCTATAGCTGCTGCCAGGCCCCTAATCTGCCATAGGCCCCTATATACCGCCTCCTCATGCTGCTGCCAGGTCCAGAGTCTGTCATGGGTCCCTGTACGGCCTCCCATTGCTGCTGTCTCCATCGCCACACTCTGCCATGTGCCACTTTCAGGTCTCCTCACACACTGCTGGTGTGTAGAATTTTTTGACATAGGGTGCTGGCAGATTACGGGCCTCCCATAGCTGCTGCCAGGCCCCTAATCTGCCATAGGCCCCTATATACCGCCTCCTCATGCTGCTGCCAGGTCCAGAGTCTCTCATGGGTCCCTGTACGGCCTCCCATTGCTGCTGTCTCCATCGCCACACTCTGCCATGTGCCACTTTCAGGTCTCCTCACACACTGCTGGTGTGTAGAATTTTTTGACATAGGGTGCTGGCAGATTACGGGCCTCCTATAGCTGCTGCCAGGCCCCTAATCTGCCATAGGCCCCTATATACCGCCTCCTCATGCTGCTGCCAGGTCCCAGAGTCTGTCATGGGTCCCTGTACGGCCTCCCATTGGCCTCCCATTGCTGCTGTCTCCATCGCCACACTCTGCCATGTGCCACTTTCAGGTCTCCTCACACACTGCTGGTGTGTAGAATTTTTTGACATAGGGTGCTGGCAGATTACGGGCCTCCCATAGCTGCTGCCAGGCCCCTAATCTGCCATAGGCCCCCCTATATACCGCCTCCTCATGCTGCTGCCAGGTCCAGAGTCTGTCATGGGTCCCTGTACGGCCTCCCATTGCTGCTGTCTCCATCGCACACTCTGCCATGTGCCACTTTCAGGTCTCCTCACACACTGCTGGTGTGTTAGAATTTTTTGACATAGGGTGCTGGCAGATTATGGGCCTCCATAGCTGCTGCCAGGCCCCTAATCTGCCATAGGCCCCTATATACCGCCTCCTCATGCTGCTGCCAGGTCCAGAGTCTCTCATGGGTCCCTGTACGGCCTCCCATTGCTGCTGTCTCCATCGCCACACTCTGCCATGTGCCACTTTCAGGTCTCTCCTCACACTGCTGGTGTGTAGAATTTTTTGACATAGGGTGCTGGCAGATTATGGGCCTCCCATAGCTGCTGCCAGGCCCCTAATCTGCCATGGCCCCTATATATACCGCCTCCTCATGCTGCTGCCAGGTCCACAGTCATCTCATGCCATGTGCCACTTTCAGGTCTCCTCACACTGCTGGTGTGTCTGAATTTTTTGACATAGGGTGCTGGCAGATTATGGGCCTCCTATAGCTGCTGCCAGGCCCCTAATCTGCCATAGGCCCCTATGGCAGATTACGGGCCTCCTCATGCTGCTGCCAGGCCCCAATCTGTCATGGGCCCCTATATACTCCTCCTCATGCTGCTGCCAGGTCCAGAGTCTGTCATGGGTCCCTGTACGGCCTCCCATTGCTGCTGTCTCCATCGCCACACTCTGCCATGTGCCACTTTCAGGTCTCCTCACACACTGCTGTGTGTGTAGAATTTTTTGACATAGGGTGCTGGCAGATTATGGGCCTCCCATAGCTGCTGCCAGGCCCCTAATCTGCCATAGGCCCCTATATACCGCCTCCTCATGCTGCTGCCAGGTCCAGAGTCTATATGGGTCCCTGTACGGCCTCCCATTGCTGCTGTCTCCATCGCCACACTCTGCCATGTGCCACTTTCAGGTCTCCTCACACACTGCTGGTGTGTAGAATTTTTTGACATAGGGTGCTGGCAGATTACGGGCCTCCCATAGCTGCTGCCAGGCCCCTAATCTGCCATAGGCCCCTATATACCGCCTGCCTCCTCATGCTGCTGCCAGGTCCAGAGTCTCTCATGGGTCCCTGTACGGCCTCCCATTGCTGCTGTCTCCATCGCCACACTCTGCCATGTGCCACTTTCAGGTCTCCTCACACACTGCTGGTGTGTTGAATTTTTTGACATAGGGTGCTGGCAGATTACGGGGCCTCCCATAGCTGCTGCCAGGCCCCTAATCTGCCATGGGCCCCTATATACCGCCTCCTCATGCTGCTGCCAGGTCCAGAGTCTGTCATGGGTCCCTGTACGGCCTCCCATTGCTGCTGTCTCCATGCCACACTCTGCCATGTGCCACTTTCAGGTCTCCTCACACTGCTGGTGTGTTGAATTTTTTGACATAGGGTGCTGGCAGATTATGGGCCTCCTATAGCTGCTGCCAGGCCCCTAATCTGCCATAGGCCCCTATATACCGCCTCCTCATGCTGCTGCCAGGTCCAGAGTCTGTCATGGGTCCCTGTACGGCCTCCCATTGCTGCTGTCTCCATCGCCACACTCTGCCATGTGCCACTTTCAGGTCTCCTCACACACTGCTGGTGTGTAGAATTTTTTGACATAGGGTGCTGGCAGATTATGGGCCTCCCATAGCTGCTGCCAGGCCCCTAATCTGCCATGGGCCCCTATATACCGATGGGTCCCTGTACGGCCTCCCATTGCTGCTGTCTCTATCGCCACACTCTGCCATGTGCCACTTTCAGGTCTCCTCACACTGCTGGTGGTTTCCATTTTTGTCATAGGGTGCTGTATGGCCTCCCATTGCTGCTGCCTCCACCGCCACACTGTGGCTCCACACTCTGGTTTTGGCCCCGTGACTGGCCAAATGAGTGAAGTGTGCGGTGATTCTAAGATCGACGGCACTCATCTGCATGTCATACTGCCTGACAGTATTATTTCTCTTCCCCAGCAGACTCCAAGGGCATTTAAATTAAAGGTACAGTGTTCAGCACTAATATTAAGTCTCTCTGAAGCCTAGAAACACCCTTTTTTAAGTTAAATTCACAGCGAATATATTCGACTCGAATCGAAATTTTTCTACGAATTCGCCGAATGTTCTTCTACAACAGCTGGTGGAGAATGTCGGACACTTTCTATTTTTTTTATTGGAACAAATAGCTGAGCTTTTAAGGAGTAGATGGAAACTGGTGCCATAGATAAGCCTTATTTATCTTAAGTCTCCCCTCCTGCTAAGGTCTTCTGGGACCTTGTAGTAATATATGACAGATTACTGTGATCTCTCAGTGATAAATTTGTTTTCCTACCGCATTGTGTGTCTGCAAATGCATATAGTCTCCTGCTTGCTAGAGCTAATTTCTGTGTATATGAATAATGGACTTCGCTGAACTAATGCAAACTCATAGTCGTAAAATGATTCTGCTACCACACCAGGCTCTCTTTGCTCACAAAGTTTCT